CCGATCAAAACTCATCATCAAAAAGACTAAAGAACAGTCATTACGTAACCCTACAGTACTGGTTACTAAATTTAACCCTTGCGTTAAAGGACTGAAAAAACGAATTCTGATTATTGGAACACCATTCTTAGAAATCCAGAATGCAAAACTTTATTTAATTCTCAACCAATCATTGCTTACAGCAAACACAATAATATAGGTGACGAGATAATCCGGTCTCACCTAAAACAAACACCATGATTTATGTCCGTGACCCCTGAAGAGGCTTCTTAATAGCCGAAACACTCTACAACTACTTGCATAATTCAAATCAGATATTAATCTGCTCTATGCAAAAAATCATATCTACTAAAAGTGTGGTTTGGAGTGTCGGGTCCTAATAAATCTCTTACAAGTTTGGTTGATTGATGTCGCTAATTTTCACACTTTGACTAGGGACAATGTCCCACCGGCATCATCCCGTGCATCGCCCTCCCTTGGATAGCGATCGACTTGTGTGGTTTATTTGGTCATCCAACAATCCGGCCACACTTTTGCTTCTTTTGTCTTCTAAGACATTTTACTACCAGCACTTCCTTTACCAAATTAGCACTTGTCTGTAAAGGAATGAATTGCAACTTCAAAGATCGTTCGTTTCGACTCTCGTATAAATCAAATTCATCAACTGATTCTAGTATGTTGACATGTACCAGTACTCCTCATTCTGCTACTATGTACCTACGCTTCAACAAGCTATCGCTCAAACACAAACCTACAACTATGGCAAACTGTGAATACATGGATATCATGAAGGACCAGGTACCTTCAAACCAGGAAGCAATCATAAACGATTTGGATATGTCCATCAATCTGCCGGAGTCCGACAGTACTGTGGCTGCCTCAAACTTGAAAATCTTAGAAAAAATCGATGGAATCCTATCGAGTCGACTTCTATACGCCAAGCGGAAAGAAAGTATCTCCCACGGACTTAGATCGGGCAGGTTTCCGTCTTGGTTTGGAGCCAAGCTCCATTGCGAACTGAGCCTCCCCAAGGAGGAAAACACGAAGTTTGCCTCGTCCTTAAAGGAACTACAGCAAGAAACCACCAGTTCCTTTGCCAACTCTGTAATCACATTTCTTGATAACTCAATCCAAGAAAAGGAGGCAGAGAGCAACAGGCTTAGGGGAGACTTCCTTAGACAAAGAAAAGAAGAATTGGATGGATATACCTTTGCGGCAGAAAAATCTAAATTGGACGAGGCTATCAAGGCCATCACTAGAAAACACACTTCTGAATTACATGACCACAGAGCCAAACTCCAGACTTTGCCAAGCCACCCGTCTAGACCTAGCCACCCAGCCAACAAACCGGCCAATAACAAATCCCACGACCGACCAAGGAATGAGAGCCACTGCCAATACCGCGGTCACCGCTACATGCAGCGTAAAAGGCCATATTAACACAACCTAATTACCTGGCGCTGAGCTCTACACAACGAGCATATTATAGACTTTTTTACGCCACCTCCATACGATGTACATAGTGACGGACTTTTATTTAATACCATGCCTGTGGAGTACATTACTATTCAGCAGACTTACATTTATGTCTCTGTTATTGATTTCACAATTAAATTCATTTATGTAATCACCAATGCCAAGTCTAGTATCTCATTTATCAGTTCATGTTTGGTCTGAAATCGTACTTTACTTGTGTCAATTTTGATAATCTTGTAATAATAATATCAATCCTCTTTTTATCATCATATGATATTAAGACGGATACTTATTGCCGCCTCTTTTATATTTAACTACGTATATCAGACGGATTATACATCTTCAAGAAATGCACAAAACAGCCATCTATTGGCCATGCTCGTAAACAAACAAAGCCCCTCCCAACTGACCATAACCAATCACCAAAATGTGGCTATCAGTTTCCTATAGCCACATTCTCTCGCCGTCCTCTAATCTATCAACACATTGATAATTAGACGGACTTGCAATTTTATCAAAAATACTAATCGGCGTTCTATAGCGCCTCGCTCAACACAAATATCTACCACCTGCTGCTCCTTTATATAAATGGCTCGACGATTAAATAGACGGAGAAAACAAAGCAAAAGTGCTAAACGCACCTGTAATTATCTACGGGGAGTTAAAGCTCATTGCAAAAAAAACAATGGCAACTGGGGAAAAGTTTGTTCTAAATCTATCAAGATACAACTTATCCGAACATGAACTTTCCTTACTGAGTAAAGGCTTGAAATTCATTCCAACGCCTAAAAGCAACAATGCTAAAAACATACTTCTCAATGACTTTGAGGAATTTGCTAGAAAACTCAGATGCAAATTCCACTTTGATACCGGAGACAACAATACAATTCATCCCTTTAAAACGAAATCTGGCTACAAACCGCCATTTACATGCAGCGAACTCGAGGAATATATAGATAAAACAAAACTGGAACTTTCCTCAATGGAAATTGTAAAAAAGAAATCGAACATCTCAGAGTCTGAAAAAGCAGCTATTTTATCTCTTAAAAATAACAGCGACATTGTTATCAAAAAAGCAGATAAAAGCAACACTATTGTCATCATGAACAAGGATCAGTATGTCTTAGAAGCACAACGCCAATTGCAATCTAAACACTATATGCAAGTATCTGAACCCAACATGCTTACATTGCATGACAGTATTCAAAATAAACTTGCCGAAATGCATACTAATGGGTCACTGGACAAAGACACTTATAAGTTCTTTAATGACAAAAAGCCTTCACTCAAATGTGGGCACTTATACCTTTTACCTAAAACCCATAAAATACCAGCAAACATTTACAATGCTCTAATAAACGGTCAGTGCAGCATTAGGAAATTACCACCTGGTAGACCAATTATCTCGCAATGCGATACGCCAACAAGGAAAATAGGACAATATTGCGATTATTTTCTGGTACCTATTGTACAAAAACAATCAACTTATATTAAGGACACTACGGACTTCATCACCAAAATCGAAAGCCTTACACTGCCAACAAACGCATTATTAATTACTTATGATGTGACGAGCATGTACACAAACATGGAATTCAACGAGCTTCTCTCATCAGTAAATGAGGCTTACACACAGGCCAATAAAACGCAATTAGACATTCCATATCCGGACCCTGAGGATCTAAACTTCTTACTGAAATGCGTCTTGGAAAACAATTACTTTGAATTCGACGGAAAATATTACAAACAAATAATAGGAGCAAGTATGGGGGCAGTCCCCAGTCCAGAGATCTGCGACATCAGAATGTATCAAATTACAAAGCATATAATGGCACAATTTCGTCAAGCCAGCAAAATTGTCTTCCACGGCAGATACCGTGATGACGGTTTCATAATATTCAATGGAACGCAACCAGAGATAGAAGAATTCTTTAATATCGGCAATCAGTGTCACAAACATCTAAGATTTACATTTGAAATTTCTCCATCTGCTGTCAACTTCCTTGATACTACAGTTTATAAAGGACAGAAATTTCAAAATTTTAACAAACTTGATATCAAGTCCTTTATCAAACCAACAAATAACTTTCAATATCTACACAGACAGAGCGCTCATAGCCCGGCTGTGTTTAAAGGATTCATTAAAGGAGAATGCATTAGACATGCAAGAAACACCACTGACCCTGAAATATTACATGCAACACTTAATGACTTCAAGACGCACTTATCAAAGCGAGGCTACTCTACTTCGGAAATTGATCCTATCATCAAGGAAACGATCAACACAAACCGATCAAAACTCATCATCAAAAAGACTAAAGAACAGTCATTACGTAACCCTACAGTACTGGTTACTAAATTTAACCCTTGTGTTAAAGGACTGAAAAAACGAATTCTGAAATATTGGAACACCATTCTTAGAAATCCAGAATGCAAAACTTTATTTAATTCTCAACCAATCATTGCTTACAGCAAACACAATAATATAGGTGACGAGATAATCCGGTCTCACCTAAAACAAACACCATGATTTATGTCCGTGACCCCTGAAGAGGCTTCTTAATAGCCGAAACACTCTACAACTACTTGCATAATTCAAATCAGATATTAATCTGCTCTATGCAAAAAATCATATCTACTAAAAGTGTGGTTTGGAGTGTCGGGTCCTAATAAATCTCTTACAAGTTTGGTTGATTGATGTCGCTAATTTTCACAACACTGGCTCATTACTGATTGACGACAAAACAGATAGTAAATTGTCACCTAAGTGACTAAAGTGACCTTAAAATCCCATATGTACATTCACATATATATATTTTCTTTGACTAATTTTACAAACCTTAAACATGTATGCATCAGGATTGTCCCAGTCCATGGTTTTGGTCAGTTTCGTAAGTGATGACAAAAGTTCATCCAGTTCATTGCATTGCAGACAAGCATGAGTATGTTCATGAGTACAATTCTTTTCGAAAAATATGCTGTCAACTTGACTAAGGGCATAAGCAAAGCAGTGGTCAGCTACATTTGAAGATGTTCTGACATGCATCTGAATTTAAAATGGACAAAATTTACAAAATTGAACTGGTGTCAATTTCTATGTATCATATTGTATTTTTGAACTGATTTTGAAACTAGTATGTTATACAATATAACATACATTGGGGCAGTTTATGCTTTATATTGTACATGTATGTAAAACATAAGTTAAAATTAGCTTCATTCCTTATAATTCAATTTCAGTATAGACAATAAGACAATTTTCCCCTAAAAATGATTTCAAAATGAATAATTTTTAAAAAATTAATATTGAGGGGAGTAATACGTTTTTGATGTAACTCATTGTGACAAAGGCAACTTATATAAAATATAAAAAAAAAATCTTTTATCTGATCAAACTGTGTTACAACTAAAATCAAATCATTCATTCATATAAAGTAATACAATTTAGAAATATCTTACTTTGTAATCAGCCTTTAAATAATACTTGGCTTTCATGAGGTTCTCCAACATTCTCTTCTGCTCATTCAAAGGAATTTGCAGTTCCTGAGTTGTACAACATGTTCTAATTCACGAAAAGCCTCACTAGCTTCTGCAACATAGTAGTCAACTCCTTCAACAGATCTGCGCACTGACAAAATCTTGTACATGGTGCTCTGTCCTAGGAAAACAAAAAAATATACTATAAATTTCCACAAATTCAGTTGATTATTAACATCAATGAAACCACCTTCAAAGAAAAGTTAAATATTCTGGCTTAAAGAATTGCTTATCATGTGTCAATTATCATGAAATATTAGTATGTTAATGTTCATATTATATAGTCTTAAGAGTTACTAAGCAAATAAAGTAAATTACCAATGGCTTCAAAGTTTTCTTCTATACACAGCTGGGAATACTGTCTTACAATTGTCGCAGGTGCTAAACATCTGATGACATGTGGTGTTTGAATTAACTCCCCTGTAGTTAGGGTTAGGGTCTTCTCCCCCAGTGGTAGGTCCTTAATGACATGACTTGATGTTATGAAGTCCAAGAAATGTTCAAGTTTTGAAGAGTCTACTTTTTCTCTAGATTGTTTTTCATGTGGCACTGGTGCTCCAACTCCCAATTCCCTAGCATGTTTCTTTGCAGAGTAAAATTTGTGTTGAGTAACAGATGGAATCATGGCATTAACGTCTTGAAAACTGGCCTGGGTGGTAAGAACAGACAATATTTGACGCCGAATTGTTGGTGTCTCAGCTTTTAAGTAACTCTCGGTTAAAGCCTCAATAAGTGCCGGAGACTCGTAGTGAGTGTAAGACGTTTCTAGTTTTGAAAACATGGCATCTTTTAAGGCATCACTTTCTCCAGGACATATTGTCTCTAAAAGAATGGAGAGGCATTCATTTGCTTTGGCAGCATATCTTCTTCTTGTTCGCTGACTTGAACTGACAAATGACTCACGGAGTGTTTTAACCGGGCTCTTGTTGCATGCTGCTAGGAACTCGTTCAGCTTTGATAGGCGATCAATACCAGAGATAGATGCTTCTGAGACTTGGCTTTCTTGGCTACATGTATCCATCGATGTCTCTTGACTGGATTCAATATTTTCCTACAAATACAAAGAACAATAGGAACAATAGGAAAAAAGTAAACTTAAAAAAATAATTACTGGTAAACTATTTTAACCTTTGTTGAGATTGACCAATGACCTTAACATTTCAGTCTGTCAAGCATAATTAAGAATTTTCAACAACTATGGTCGCCCGCGTGGCACAGTGGTTAGAGCGTCTGCTCTAGAGTCGCAAAGTAAGGAGTCAATCCTTACGATGCGGGTTCAAATCCCACTGCGGGACTTGGAGACCGGTCTTTCGGATGAACCGTATAAACCGAGACCCCCTGTTGCAGTAGGTGCTGGGCTGCTGGCAATAAAAAGACCCCTCATTGCTCAAAGGCCCTGAGTGCTGAGCTTAGGACAAAATTTGTAGCCCTCCACCAGCAAGTGGTGGCGTTTCCATATGAGTGAAAAATTCTTGAGAGGGACGTTAAACAACATACAATCAATCAATCAACATATTATGCTGTCAACATGGTCAATATACATGATATATGTTGGCCTCAGGCAATAGAATACACTGAGCTGTTCCCTGCACCTCGGGAAAATATTCTGGTCTATTGACTGCTCAGGCATTAAATAATTGTATGCATTAAATTTTGTAATATGAATCATATATGCTTATAAGATTTGCTTCAGTGTTGGTCATTAAATCAGGCTTGGTGATAGAATGCCTAGAAGTGACCTTGAGCTTGCAAAAACACAAAATGACCTTGATAAGAGACAAACCCTCTGGTCGCATAAATCTGTGTAAAATATGAATATTCAATGTTTTTCCTTCTAAAAAAAATATGAACCTGACATTAATTACTTTTCATCTAGGGTCAGGCTATATGACAACCTCAAATATACATCTCAACAGGTTCTGCTTTACAAAATATTGTCCAGAGATTTTCATACAGATCTGACAATTTTGTACATATGGATGGATTATATGCTGATTTCAATGTTTGTTTGTTTTTTTTTTTGTTTTTTTTTTGGGGGGGGGGGTCATAATATTGGTATAAAGACGGGTAGGGAGATATGAAATTTACATTGAAATAAATTTGTGATCTTACATTTTCATCGTTTTGTATTTGAATTCTAGGTCTCAGAAGCAATCCACTACATTCCATACTCTGTTCCATTGCCTAAAATGAAATACGTACAATAAAAATTACAAATTGATCATTCACTGGACTATTGTAGAACCATGCAATGGTCAGAGCAATACATTACTTCCTTAGTTACAAATTTCTTGATTTAAAACTTCAGTTGATTTAAGAATATCTTACATATTTAAATGATAAATTTAACAAATACATTTATAGACACTTACTGTCTCACAAGTCTGTACATCATTTTCTATATTGCCTTCCTTAAATAGCTTAGCACGACAAGATGCACAGATAGCTGAAAGTATAGAACAGTGCCAATATTCAAATCAGATAATCAAGATAATTTGTATATAAATAACTTCAGAATTGTACATCATATTTAAATCTTATACCAGTGGATATCTGCTTAAAAGATGTTTAAATTCTAAAGTAAAAAAGAATTTTTAAATAAAAAAATATGCAATCAGGTAATGACGGTTATAAATATTTCTGAATTATGTAAATTAAAATTGGTGTATAGTAGATTTAATCTGCCTCCCCCTGAGTAGTAGAGGATAAAATATGCCATAGTCATGCTTATTGATTGCACCTGTCCATAAGATATTTAAAATGCAAGAAGGCTCTGCAATATTCAGCATTACTGGGGTATATTAAGAAGCTTATTCTGATTTCATTACATATGACATGTAAACATGATTTCCAGTTATCAATCCTTTCATTCATGATTATTTAGACTTTTTAATAATATTTTTTAAATAAGAAGCGTTCATGGGTCTGTGTCTACTACCTGTAGTACTGTAACATGTATATGTTTGAAGTTATACACCTAATTGCCTAAATGGAATGGAAAAAAAATTAGGGGGAAATGCAATGATAAATCATAAATCAAACTTAGTAATTGTTTTGTATTCTTTTTAACTGAATATCATTTAATGAAACAGAGGATTTATACAGCTATAAATACATGTATAAGGTTAAACATGTAGCATACTTACGCGTTCCAACGGGAAGAATTGTGCCATATTTTCTATTGATGTCTTCCACTTGGTGAATTGTTATTTGCCTATCTGCCTTTTGTTTTCCCGACCTTTTTTGATTTCTTAACTGGTGAGACGCTAAATGCTGTGGAATCCCGCAACATTTCCCTCTCCTGCGCAAGCGATTTTTCTCTTGGATTGAACTTAAATGATTTTTGCAAATGTTAAATGAATTTGATAATTCGCCGTAAATTAAACCCGATTCTGTCAAAATAATGGAACTCGAAGTTGATGGTAATAAATCAAATCAAGAGAACTAAAAGTTTCTACATCAGAACAAACAACTAAAGAATGAAACGAATGAAAACTACAGCTTCCATCTGCTGGCATTTTGCAAACAAATGAAAGCAGTTCTCTCCTTCAATACAAAAGAGTACATTCAAGAACTATAACTCTGTCGTTGTTTTTTCTCCAAATTCCCAAGTAATTGAATCAAATTCCAGATTTATTTTTGATTTCACCATAAATTTAAGGTTTCCATATTTTAGGATATTTCTTTTATTATTTTTCTAGCACAAATGTTTACACTAGATGACTTGACAAAACATTTTTTTTTACTCTCAAAACTGCAATTGTTGAACAATGAAATTTACTGAAAATTACCATCTGCACATTATTTATGAGCTAGGTAAAAAACTTTTTTGCTCTTAAATGCTTGAAACAAACTTAAAAACTTGTTTTTGTATTTTCCTTTCTTTTATTTATTTCTTTTTTAGGAAATTATTTAAAGTTTCCAATAATTCCACTGTCAGTTGTTATGCAATGTGTTTCCATGACAACTGTTGCTAAGTCAAATCATTGCACAAGGTTTTTACCTGTTAGACACCAATATTTGAAAATACACAAAGTTTCATCTAAATCCAAGACATACCGTGGCCAAAGGATTTTGATTCTTACATAGAATCAGTGTTAAAATTTTACTCCAATTGCTTTGAATTCAATTAAATTTATTTTTTATTGAAACTTAAAAAAAATTATATTGATCACATAAATACGACTAATTAAAGTCAGAATATTTGAAAAAACGTAAAGATTTAGCATTTCAACAGCAATCGGGATCGAGATTCCAAAAATTCTAACAACATATTTTTTTTACATTTGGTCATTTTGGAAGAAGGAGTGATCAGGATGGACGATTCATCTAATTCCTCAGATTCATCTGATTCTTCAAACTCCATTTTATCACCCTGCTCATCCCCTTCATCATCGGAACTAACGTGGAAAAGGGGAAGATCATCCTCAAGCTCACAGACTTACGAGAGTGACGACAGTTGCACCTCCCGAGTGAAATGTGCTAGGTGTAGTGTATTCACAACACCATTGTGGGTTAAGAACCAATTTATTACCTTCTTTTACAGGAGAGCTCATCAGATAAAAACAGTAACTCTTAATAAAATTAGAACATACATTACATCGTTCCCCTTACAAAATTTGATACTTCCCATGGACATTAGATTTAAGATCAGTAAAATACATTAGAAACTGTAACTCAATTAAATTTGTTGAAATATTAACTAATTCAGTTTTCAATTATGATAAACAGTAAAGTTCATTCTCGGTATCGCATAGGGAGTTTTACACAGCGGCCATTACGGGTAAAATGCGCAGGGTTTTCGGCTGGTGGTTCGACGTCAGATCTAGCTGTCTCAGTAACGGTATTTGGTTGCACATCTGAAGCTGCTGATGTATCATTGGTGCTCTGATTGGTCTTGGTACCCAATGTGACATCTGTATACGCAGGGACATCATCTCTGGAGACCGAGTTATTTTGGACACGAGTAGGTCTCAGGAATTTGCGGTTACGTCTGTAGCATCGTCCATTGCTGTCGATGACATACGAACGTTTTGTAGGGTGCAAGTCTTTAACGAAACCGCTTGTCCATTGTCCTGATTGGCTCTGCATCATTACGGAGTCTCCTGCTTTGAGAGGTTTAAGTGGCTCCTTCTTAGCATGTCGGTTAAAGTTCTCCTCCTGTTTTTCCTGTCGACATTTCATCTTGACCAACGTGTTGTCATCCACCCAAGATTTTAGTAGGGGGACTGCTGTAGGTAAGATAGACTTCAGTCTGCGTCCTAGAAATAGCTGAGCTGGTGACATATCAATACAATCAATCTTGGTGTTCCGATACTCCAAAAGAGCAAAGTATGGATCTTGAGATTTGGTAATAAGACGTTTCATGGTCTGAATCATTCGCTCGGTCTGTCCATTACTCTGAGCATGGTACGGACTGGTCGTGGTATGTGTGATGTAATACGATTTCACAAACTCCTTGAATTCATAACTACTGAACTGTGGTCCATTATCACTAATCATGATATCCGGAATTCCATATTTGGAAATCATGCTTTTCAAATGGGTGATCATGCACTTAGAGGTAAGCGACTCCAGTTTGGCAAGTTCCGGCCACTTTGATAAATAATCAACTACCAGTAAGTAATGGTTTCCACTAAGTTCAAACAGATCCATTCCAATCTTTGACCACGGTCTTGATGGAAGTTCGCTTGGAATCATTGGTTCCTTAGGATTAGCAGCCTGATATTTGGCACAAGTTGCACATGCGCTCACGAGGTTCTCTATGTCTTTTCCCATACCGTTCCATAAGAGAATGTCTCTCGCTCGGTTTTTGGTCTTCACAATTCCTTGGTGTCCAATATGTAGCTTCTCCAGCATTTCATTCTGCATCGACTTTGGGACAATCAGTTTGTGTGACTTATAGAGAATACCATCAATGTATGAAAGTTCATCACGGAAGTTCCAGTAGGCTCTAATTTCCGGTGCAAGGTCTGCTTTGTTGTTTGGCCATCCATCCAAGATTGTGTCCAAGAGTTGCTGTAACTCATCATCTTGACCTTTTTCCTTCCGGAAACTGTCCTGTACTTCCTGTGACACAGATAAGTATGAAGTAAGATGTATCTCATTCACCTGTAGATCTGGTACGAGGGCTTCCTTAGTCTCTTTCAGATAGGAAAGACTCAAATGATCAGCCAAGAACATTTTCTTTGCCGGTTTGTAAACTACTTGAATGTCATATTTTTCAAGTGCCAACACGACTCTTTGTAGTCTTGGCGGTGAAGATAGAACAGGTTTCTTGAAGATACTTTCCAAAGGTTTATGGTCTGATTCAACCAGTACACTGTGACCATATACATAATCATGGAATTTTGTACATCCATAGAGAATTGCCAGAGTTTCTTTCTCAATCTGTGAATATCGTTGTTGTGTTTCCGTCAGTGCACGTGAACCATACGCAACTGGCTTATCTTCCTGAATCAACACTGCACCTAGTCATTTAGAACTGCCATCTACTGACAACATCACTGGCTTGTTTGGATCAAAGTACTTAAGGATCGGTGCACTAGTAGTCATGTACTTCAATTTCTCATAGCTTTCTCCCTGTTCACTTTCCCATTTCCATCACTACTGAATAAGATATCCCCTTAGATTCCAAAAATTCCCCTGTTGTCCCCCTGTCAGTCCCTGACATTTTCCTGTCTCTCCCTGACTTTCTCCTATGATCCCCTGTCGTTGTCCCTGCTCTCCCTGTCCAGTCCCTGTCGTCCCCTGTCGTTGTCCCTGCCTTCCCTGTCTACTCCCTGTCGTCCCCTGACACTCTCTGATCTCCCTGTCCAGTCCTTGTCGTCCCCTGTCGTTGTCCCTGCCCTCCTTGTCTACTCTCTGTCGTCCCCTGACATTTATTTTGGCCAAGAATAGGAGTTTAAAAAAAATGTTTGTTGCATTTAAGAGTGAAAAATGATACAGTCTTGAAAACTTTAAGTATATTTTTGGAAAATGTAGACTTAGTAAAAAGTTAATAAATTTTTAAATACCTTAACTTAATCCCCTGTAATTTAGTTTCTATTACTTGTATCAATGTGATTTTTTTTGGTTTGGTAGCATTTCGGGTGGAGAACAGCTGAGAATTGCATTGATTCTAAAGAAGAAATAAATTACCAATTTATTTCATCTTGTGATGGTTGATGGCGTATACATTGTACTTTATGAACCTTTTATATATATTTATAATCTTTTTCATTTTTTTTATTTGATCTATTTTGAAACATCGTTGAGCGTTATAACTGTGTTTGTAAAAGTTCTAGATTTAAACAATTCGGAATACATTATCCAATCCATGCATGGGATATTTTGTTTTCCCAAAGAATTAAATGAATAAAAAATAAATTGGAAGGAATGATATATAAATGCAATAATACAATATATTTTTTTATTAAATAAATAAAAATTATTAAATAAAATTAAAATCTTTTATATTGATTTATTTTCTTATGTGAATAAATCTACAAATCGACTAAATAAAGAATAAATAAAATAAATAAAATAAAGAAAGAAAGAAAGAAAGAAAGAAAGAAAGAAAGAAATAGATAAATCAATCAATCATTAATGAGAATTAAATAAAGTTATTCATTTATTTGTTGATTTTTTTAATTTATCATTCATTTTTATCTCCGAAATTTGTTTTATTAGTTTTGATTTAATTATTTGCTGAAATATGCTACAAAGTATTTTATTAGCATATTTAAACGACTTTTTATTAATTTAAGTCCATGATGGGTATCAAAATAATCGTCTCATTATGCACAATATTAATCTGTCAGTTAGAGTTTCGATACTTTGTTTTGATTAAAAAATCGGTTTTCAACACCCTAACACGGTTCTGAAACAACATCAAAGCCATTGATGTTGACCAGTAATTAAAATAAATTCATAGTAAATAAATTAAAAACAATAAATGAATATTAAAAAAAAATATTAATAAAATATCAAATTATTTATTTTTGAAATTGAAAATAAAACAGATTAAGGAATCATTTATATCTGCAAAAAATTGTGATTCTTTGGTTTTATTTCATATAAACACTTGCATCCGTACAGTACCGACCAGACCCGACCTGACACAAAGCAGTCCCAGAGCTGTCCCGGGTACTGCTTTCTGGGACTGCTAAAGCAGTCCCGCAGCGGTCCCAGAGCAGTCCCACAGCAGTCCCAGAGCGGTCCCAGCAGTCCCAGCAGTCCCAGCGGTCCCAGAAAGCATTCCCAGCAGTCCCAGAAAGCAGTCCCAGCAGTCCCAGTGGGTGGGGTTTATTTATTTAATGGGCAGGGCTTACTCAGAATTGAGATTTCCAATAAACAATGGAACTATAAAAGGCAGCTGAATTTTTTTCTGAGCAGGGTGCAAGGAATCCTTACATTGTGAAGGTCATTTACATGTATGAGCAGTACCCGCATAGACTTGAAACAATTTGAAATAATATCTATTGACGGAATAAAGCTTACACACGTACATAAATGAATTACACTGAACATGTATATTTAATCATAATTATCGTGAGTTTCTTGTGATTGATACTGGCTCCCATATTTATTTTCTATACAGAAAATTAAAATTGAATTAATTATTTTTCACAAGAATTAGTTTTAAATTAGATCTATTTATTATACATCATGGCCATTTCCATACTATCGGGATACTCTAAAGGCATTTTTTAAAAAGTATTAGGGCTTTTGAAAAATCCGATGCTAATTTAGCCAAGTAATATTTTTCAGAATTGATTATTCTTTACTGACATGTTAATTTGAAAATTATTGTTTTATTTGAAAATTGTATTAGTGACCAATATAGAATCCTAAGATTATGTTCAACATAAATTAATCTTGAAAGAAATTTATACACAATTTCATTTATCCTTATTTGCATTACAATTTTTGTATAGATTGAAATTGGGGTCATTGTTTATTGAGCAGCATGTTCAATGATGTGTAACACTGAAACGTGTACCCAAATGACAAGCATGATTGATTTTCTGCCCAAAGGCGATTGAAACCACAAGTGTTTATACCATTTTATTCATACACATTATCGGCCAGGTAAACAAAAGCAGTGTAAGATAAAGTTGCCACCCGGCACCACGTGTGCGGACGGACGAGGACCTGACACCTGAATCGGTGTTTCGGGCACATTTTAGGAATGTTCCAGGGTCTGCCACTCATCAGAGGTCCAACCCAAATTAAGTTATTATATTTTAGTTGTATATTTCTGGCATGGTGGTGTTTCATGCAATAATATTTGTAGTGGACATGTATTGTGTTACTGTTCCTCTAATTAAGCTTTGTGAATAAAAAGCTTTATGTTTTGGATATGTCAATGAATAAGACAATATCAAGGAGAATTAATATTCTCTGTGGTGCGAGCTTAAATTGTTTGCTCGTCTTGTTTTGTGGTACATGTTGTACTAAACGGCTCTTAGATAGAGCTGCAGTTGAGATTCGTTAGAAATGGGCGGGGCGACCGTCACATAGTCGCGCTGGAAGAGTTAATGCACGTGGCATGAGAAAGCGCATTGGTTGTTTGTTTGGAGTGTTGGGTAATTGACAGCCACCTGTTCCCTGATATCTGCTTTGCATGCTTTTCGCTATCACGGATTGTCTGATTTGTTAATTGATGTGCTATCTGTTCGAGTTTAAGAGCTCATTTAAGTTTCTATTTCGCTTGTATCCAATGATAGGAGGCATAGGGAATAACTCAGAACACTGTTTATCCTTTTGAATTAATTTCCAATGCTTGCGTAATGTTTTCCCCAGTTTTCTGACTGCAGGATTGTACTTGGTAACAAGCACAGAGGGCGGTCTGTTAGGTTTAGTCTTACTATTTTTTAGCAATTCCTGTCTATTAATTGTTTGTTTCTGAAACAATACTGTCTATTTCAGATTCCGAGTACCCCCTTGATATAAGTCGTTCCTTGAACTGTGAAATTAATTGTTTGGTTTTATGTGGGTCAGAGGTGTTCCTCTTATGACGGATAATTTCCCACTTAATAAATCCTCTGAAGGTAGCATTGGGATGTGCACTGCTGCGATGCAGATACATAAATGTTTCTGTAGGTTTGATGAAAGTTTCAAAGTCTAAGACTCCGGACTATTTAAATCTCTGTCCTTTGTAGACTTTTGTGTCCAGAAACACAGTCTCGTTAAGTGAATATTGTATGTAAATTTCAGGTATTTGTGCTCCTGATTTGCAAGTTCAAAAAACTGCAGTATTTCACTTTCTGTGGCGTCCATGGCCAAAAACCGTCATCTCTGTATCTAAAGTGAGCCAGAATTTTGTTTTTATGATTGTATATTTTGATAATATTTTCAAGGATATCAAAAAGGCGCAGATCACATATCTCGGGGGACGGGACCGCCCCCATACTGGCTCCTAATATTTGTTTATACAGGTGACCATTAAATTCAAATTCATTGTTCTCTAACAGAATTTGTAACAATTTGATTAGGTAACTGATATATGGGATCGGTATTGTAACATCAGTTTGTTTCAATTTTGTGAGATTTGTGTCGATTTCTGAATTGATTTGCATTTCACATACAATCTTGTTGATCAGATCGTGTATTTCATGTGTTCTGTCTTTGTGAATTGCGGCGTAATGAATGCCGTCATTTAATTGTCTTAGTCCCTCCGCTGCATAATTTGTGCGGTTCTGAACTACAACAGTAGTAGATTTGTCAGCCTTTTTTATTACAATGTTTGTCTCGTTTCGGAGACTGGTCAGCACATTCCGCTCTTTTTTTGTTAAATTATCTCTAAATTTGTGAAAGTGGATTTTACATAGCTCCATTTTGGTTGCATAGAGATAATTTTCTAAAGCTGTGCACGTTGTGTTGCCGGGATTATAATTCATATTGATATATAAGGGATGCAATTGTTTATCATCCTCATTTGTATGAAAGAGTATCTTACATCTCATTTTCCTGGCAGTTCATTGAAGCTACAGATCAAATTCTGTCTTATATTTTGCGTCCCTGGTGTGGGAATAAATTTGAGACCTTTGCTAAGTAAAGATGTTTCAGCTTCAGACAGAGTATAATCTGAGAGATTGAGAACATTGTTACTAGTGTTCTCTGACAGGCGTTTAATACGCCTGATATTGCGAGCTTTTCTGTTGTTTTATATTTTTTCTGATTTTGCGTTTTGGAGAGCCTCCTGCCAGGCATGTTAGCGTAGTGCCGATCTGGGAGCCAAATCTGCATTGATTGCTAAGAAAAGTGAACAAGGTATGATCAACAGGGGTTCCCTGGGGGTGTAATTCAACCGCGCAGATTAACATGCGGGTTTATCTTGGGGGCACCGACAGGCATGCGTTTACTTCTTAGGTGCAGTAAAGATCTGTGAATACCTGCATGATGCAATAGGTAAAAAGCATGATTATATTGTTTGACATCAAGCTTGCTGCGGGACAAAGTATAGGTTCTGTCCAGCAGGATGGGGATATGGTGTGTGTTCAAACCCTGAGGTTAAGAGTGACACTGAGAATTCTTGTAGATGTTGCAGTCAGGTTAATTTCTAGTTGGCGCACTTGGATCTTATAAAAAGGGTTTTTGTAGTTTTGTGGAGGGTACGTCCTAATTAAGCGTAATTCCCCGCTATTGAAATGTGACCGAGCTGCATATAGGTGTTGAGTTTGATTTATTAGCATCCATGTGAAATTGTGAATTTCAATTTCCGCTGAGATCAAGGGAAGTGGGGATTGGTGTGAGTTACGGTTTGTTAGAACCGAATGACAGCCTGAGAATTGGCTGTATGAGGTTTTTGTATCCCTTGCAGGTATGTGTGGATGGTGGACTTTGGTTTAATTTATGAGATGACAAGCGCATAAAAACGACGACATCCTAACATCCAGACATGTCTTAAACTTATTAGAACCCGACATTCCGGGCACACACTATATTTTAACGAACTTCTTTAACAAACTGAACTTTCTAAATCAAAATAGCAAAATATCATTTATTTCATGAACTCCTCTAATAAAGTAAAATACTTGCGCCAGATCCCACTATAGATCTGCCAGAACCAAACTA